GAGGAGGTGGGGACCGGGGGGCGGTCTGGGCCCTGGGGCAGGGGCGGTCACGTGTTTTCCGGGCAGGGCCAGATGGCGAATCTCACGGGCCCCACCGTCTCTGCCACAGCGACGCCGCTCGGTTCTCGTAGCGCGAAAGCCGCCCAGACACTGTGTACGGGAACGAGCGTGGCCCTGTTCCAATGCAACTTTATTTATGGACACTGAGATAGAAATTTGATAGCAGTTTCGCATGTCATGGAATAATATTCTTTTGACTTTTTTTTTTTTTTATTCCCAACCATTTGAAAAAGTAAAAATGATGCTTACCTTGCAGGCTATGAAAAAACACATGGCAGCCATCCTTGGCTGAGACTGCCACTGGAGGTCATCGCATCCTCTCACCTCATCGTCTTGGCTTCCTCTTGGGAAAAGAACCTTCTGGCAGTGGGGAGATGCCTATTCCCGCAGACAAAAGACTTAGAGGCAGGGATAGCGCACTGCCTTCCCTACGAAGCTGCTGGCTTGGCTTGCCACCCAAGAACACAAATAGTAACTTGTTTTGCCACTAACAGGGAGGGACAGCCAGATATCAGACTGCAAAAGAGTGTTCTGAGCCATCTGGCCCCCTGGCCCCAGATGCCAGCATGTGCTTCCTCCAGTCTGATGGAAGGAGCTGAGTGACAGCAAACATTCAAACATTCATGCCCGGGCTTTGTCTTTGCAGAGAGTCCAGAGCACTGGATGTCGGACAGCTCCCTGCTAGACATGGTTGCAGAATGTTTGGTGCATTGCTTTGAATTTGTCCTTTGTAAATTTAACTCAGGGGAGCACTTGAGTTTACTATTCATATTGTGGCATAAATAAATGGGGAGCATGTACCCCAGGAACAAAGATAAAAGTAGTTCTGAGTCCACGGTGGAGTGCAAAAGAATGATAGGGAAGCCTAGGGTTTGTAAAAACCATAAATATCGGAGCAGTATGCATGGGCAGCCTGGGGAGCATCATTATCCGCTCCCCTGACTGTTTTAATATGCTGCTTATAGAAGCCCCAGAAATCATCAGAGGCCGTGGGGCTGGGAGAAGACTTGACTGGAGCTAAAAGAAGCCAGCCCATGGGGAGGACAACTTTAGAATAACCTGAAAACACACAGACACGTGCTCACCGACAGACACTTTCATTCATTCATCAAATATTCATTTCCTGCGTAAGATGTTCCAAGTACTAGGCTAGCTACTGGGAGAATCAAGTCGAAGGCTCAGCCCCTGTCTGCAAGGCACCCAGGAGCAGGGTAGGGCTAGCAGATAGGGGTTGGAAAGTGTCTTAGGAGCATGAATTGTTGCCAGGGCAGGGGAGATCCAGGCGTGCACCCCACACAGCAACTTCCCCCTTGCAGAAGCCCGGCTACCTGCAGCCCACCTGAGTCCGAACACCTGGCCGGCACCTGCAGAGACTGAGGAATGATGCTCAGTGGGTCCCTCTGAGTCATCCTCCCTGTAGGTGAAGTCCCAGAAGCGGGGATCCCGGCCAGCCCTGGACCATAAGACCAGGGAGACGGCCAGACTCCATCTGCTGAGCCTCCATCTCTCTTCCTGCCAGAAAGATCTCCGTCCCGCGGCTCAGCAAGGGGGACTGCCCCAGCGAAGTGACAGGAGTGGGCCTCGGGGCTGGGCGGAGAGAGCAGAGGACGAAAGCGTGTCAAAGACACGTGGCCTCTGCGCTCCCGCGTGCTGCTTCCCGCCTGGTCAGCGCCCTGTCGCGGGCATTGATGGTTTCATTTTTCTGGGGGAAAAAAAAGAACAAACGCAGAAGATAATTGTAGTGGAACGGCCGATAAGTAACGTTTGGTCTCCTTTTTACAACCATTCCCTAGGGCCACATTATGGTAATTTTTCTTCTATAACTGGCAAATTGTATAACGAGTCAGATGATAAACCAGCGAGCAAGGCAGAAATTTGCATTTTAATACAACTGCTGGTATCACTCCCCCGCCCCCATCGCGGAGGGGTCAGGGCCTCTCTGATCCTGGGTCCCCTGGCGCCCTGCCCTTTTGCTTCCTTCTTTAACTCCGAGTGGGTGAGTCTGGAACGCTCAGTAAGTGCAGCATTTCAAATGCAAGCACAATATCTGCTCGCTCCAGATGGTGCGTAGCAGAGAGATCAGGGCCTGGTGCCCTGGAGTCAGCCAGGCAGGGCCTACTCCAGCTCCGCCACTCAGTAAGTGGGCGTCCTTGGCCAGGACCCTGAGCTGCGTCTCCATTTCCTTTTCTGCAAAATTAGCATCATTTTACTACCCGCTCTATGGGTTTTTTAATGGATGCCTGGTGCGTAGTACATGCTCACTAAATGCTATTTATTAATAATATTGTGGTGGTGGTCTGTGTGCGGCAAACTCACACTGTTTTTCCTCTGCTCTCACACCACGACAACAAACACAGAAGACTCCTGTGACCGACTTTGTGGGGTTTTTTTTCCCTACACGCCAAGCAAGCAATCAGCCCCGCGGTGGACACCAGCTGGGTGTCCTCCAATTCAACTCTGACACCACCTACCTGGAGATGGCATCAGACCCCGCAGGGTGGGAGCTCAGCCCCAAGACTGACCCCACTGCCGACGCCCATCGCAGGCCCCAGGCTGCTCTGCCTGTGCTTCTGACCGACTGGCTAGAGATCCGGGTTCCTGTGACCCCCGCCTTGGGTTCGAGTAATTTTCCAGAGTGGCTCACAGAACACAGGGAAACACGTTTAATAGTTTATTATAAAGGATATTACAAAGAACACAGATGACACATAGAGTATGGGAAGGGGCACTGAGCTCCCACACTGTCCCACTGTCCCCGCATGCTACCCTCCAGTGACCCTCCTGTTCTGCCATCCAGCAGCCCCCCACTCCCTGCCCTCCTGGGCCTTCCACAGAGACCTCATTGGAAAGGCAAGACTGACAACTGTGTAGACGGGGGGATTGAACAAAAAGGGCATGATCCGACACTGATAGGCTGAGTGGTGACACTCAGCCAGGCCTGTGTGTTCAGATTCTTCTTGGCCTCTGTGTGCAGCATCCTTCCTCCAGGGTGGCTCGCGTTAAACTTCATCCCCCAAAACAGTGGACGCTGTGTTACCGTCCCTCTAATAGACGGAAACAAGCTCGCTTTCCCAAATTACGCAGACAGAAGGTCACGGAGCAGAGCTTCAAGTCAAGGCAGTGCGCTCCGTTCCACTCCATATGGGGGAAGGTTCTAGGATTCCTGAAATCGGGCTTGCCCGGTGTGTGTGTGGGTGTGTGTGTGTGTGTGTGAGTTTGGGCCCTGGTACTTATGTTGATGTGTGTGTTGTGTGAGATCTTCCGTAACCCATGGCCTGGCGGTTGTGGCACCCTAAACTCGCATGCTCTGAATTCCTTCCAGGACGCAGAGGCAGCACGGAGGCCCGGAGGAGTGGCAGGTGCACGGAGCAACAGCGAGGAGTGGAGGTGGACTTGACAGCACGGTCTTGGACGGAACCACTGCCCTGTGCACCCAGGGGCCTTCCAGTCCCATCCTCTCCTCAGCGACCGTGACAGGGCGTGTAGAACACATACCATTTTCCATCCATGGTTCCTGGCTCCTGACTCCCTTGGCCCTTGTTACAGGCTTTTGTTCCATGTTGGGTCTGTAGGCCTCAGAAAACGGAACCTCTCTCTCTGACCTCCCCCTGCCCTCTTTTCCTCTGCCCAAGGCAGGACTCCGATCTTCCCCCACCTTTCTGCCTTGGACGGCCGTAAAGAAATTCTCTGCCCGCCTTGCCCGGTTGTGGGTCACGAGACCCCCCATTTCAAGAAGGGGCCCTGCCCCACAACCAA